TTCCCCTACCCACAAACTGTGATTACTTATTGCTTGTTTTTCTGAAGGCATGTTTGCAGACATCCCCAAAGCAGGCTCTTTAAAGAGAATAAAACTAATAATTCTCATTATTTTTAATGCGTAATCATTTATAATGTTAGTAACAAAGAGCAATAATAGACAAATACAAAGAATTCTCTGCAGATAAGGTACCATGGGTTACAAAGGTTTAATTATTTTATTATTATATCATGTGGCATAATGGTATTACAATCTATTCCACTGGGGAAAATATCTATGAATATTTTTTGCAGAAATGCCAAAGGGTCTAATTTTCTTCCTGACCCTAATGGTACTTCTCTAAATTCATGCAACTATTATTTTTTATTACCTCTAGGTCAAATGCTCCCTTGGACCTTTCTAGAAAAGTACTTTCTGAACAGAGAAAAAGAAGATGTGTTTTTCGAGATATGTATAGATGTCTGAAAATTGTCTGTATTTGTGAATTTAGTTTCTTGCGAACATTGTATGCCTTAATGAATTCATGTGGTTTTTGATCTAATTTCAAAAACTCTTTGTAAATGGTAAGTTCAGATCTTGGGCAAGCAGAATATGTTTCTTCCTCTATAGCTCCCAGGATGTGGAGAGTGATAAAAGAGGGGAAAAAAGGATCAGAAAGTGAAAGAGGAAAGGTGACATAAAAAGGAAAGAGAATATTTTAAAAAAATATTAGTTGAGAATAGTAACTTTATGTTGCTACATAGATCCATGGATTTCATTTATGTACTGAAGTAGAAAAACAATGAAGAAGAAAACAATGATTTACATTGGTTATTTGCCTCCATTAATATTTTCCTACAATCGCAAGTTGATATAAATCACATATTTAATTCCAAAGTAATTTAGCATGTAATATCAAGCGTTCATCTCTGTTTATCTCTGCTTGTCCACAATAATTTAGCTTTACCTGAACTGTCTGTATTGGAGGATTAATCTCCTGGATGCCTTAATGAACTTCATGTGGCCCTTGATCTAATTTCAGAAACTTTGTAAATGGTAAGTTCAGATCCCGGGCAGGCAGAATCTTTCTTCTTCTGTAGCTCCCAGGATGTTGAGGGTGATAAAAGAAAAAAAGGAATCAGAAAATTAAAAAGAAAAGGTGACATAAAAAGGAAAGGAAAGAGAATAATATCCCAGCAAGCCTAGCCTGTAGCCCACCCAATGTTTGCTTCAACTTGGCATTTCAATAACATATAATATGGCACCTATCATGACCCAGACCACGCAGTTTCACCTGAACATTCCTTGAAAAGGAAAAAGAAGAAAGAAAGAAAGAAAGCTAGGACTTTGGGAATAGAATAGAATTCTTTATTGGCCAAGTGTGATTGGACACACAAGGAATGTGTCTTGGTGCAAATGCTCTCAGTGTACATAAAAGAAAAGATACATTCATCAAAAGTCAAGAATTATAAGGTACAACACTTAATAATAGTCATAAGGTACAATAAGCAATCAAATCATACCATGAAACAGTCAATATAAATCGTAAGGACACAAGCAACAAAGTTACAGTCATACAGACACAAGTGGGAGGGGATGGCTGATAAGGAGTGATGAGAAGATTAATAGTAATAGTAGTGAAGACTTTGTAAATAGTTGGACTGTGTTGAGGGAATTATTTGTTTAGCAGAATAATGGCATTCAGGAAAAAACTGTCCTTGCGTCTAGTTGTTCTAATGTGCAGTGCTCTATAGTGTCATTTTGAGGGTAGGAGTTGAAACAGTTTATGTCCGGGATGTGAGGGGTCTGTAAATATTTTCACAGCCCTCTTTTTGACTCATGCAGTATACAGGTCCTGGATTGAAGGCGGGTTAGTAGTAATTGTTTTTTCTGAGATCCTAATTACTCTATGAAGTCTGTGTCTGTCTTGTTGGGTTGCAGAACCAAACCAGACAGTTATAGAGGTGCAGATGACAGACTCAATAATTCCTCTGTAGAACTGTATTAGCAGCTCCTGGGTTTGAGTTTTCTGAGTTGATGCAGAAAGAACATTCTTTGTTGTGCTTTTTTGATGACATTTTTGATGTTAGGTGTCCATCTTAGGTCTTGTGATATGATAGAACCTAAAAATGTGAGGGTCTCTACTGTTGATACTGTGTTGTCTAGTATTGTAAGAGGTGGTAGTAAGGGAGGGTTTCTCCTAAAGTCTACCACCATTTCTAATCATAGCTGAAATTGTATTTTTTGTTTAAAAAATGATGAAAGAAAAAAGTGTGTTTTATTTAACAATTCTCCAGAAGGAAAAGAGGAAGAATGGAAAAGCAGCAGAGGAAAAGAGAGAAAGAAAGTTGGAGGCAGATTGAGAAAGAAAAGAAGATGGGGAAAGAGAGAGAAGACACTACTTCAAAGATCGGTTAGATAGGAAAAGAAGAATTAAAAGTAAAGATGAAAAGACGCCCTGATAACCAAAGCACAACAATGTCTCACAAACTAAACATCAGTTTATAAGCAACATATGTTTAAATTTAGGAGTCTTTCTTCCTCTCTTTTGCTAACACTGTGTGTATTTTGCCATACAAATGATTTTTACCTTCCTCAACCATGCTGCTGCTGATGTAGTGAGGATCTGTGATTTATTCAGGTTCTTGGCTACATAGAACTGCTGCAGGCATGCTGCTCCTTCGGGACTTCCCTCTATGACTATTTTGGCTTTGACTATCAGAGAGACTGGACACCTAACTTCCACAGAGACAGAGCCAAGGAGAGCAAGAAGAACTTTTCATAAATGAAGAAGCTTCACTGAACTCAGTTTGCCTCTATGTATACATACCAGAATTGTACATTTCAAAGAGGAAGGACAGGTTGCCTGCCTATATTGTGTTCCCATAACCAGGGCACTTTCTATTACTGAATCCTATCTTGTACAGAAAATTTGAAGTCTTGCTCTAAGCAAGTAATTAAATGGCTGGCAGCATTACAATAGTTTGCCCACTATTTATCTGCAAACCAGAGCATTTTACTACTGCTGAAGCATATCTTCCATTGGTTTCAAAGGGCCATATTCCTAACTCAGTACTTATTTAAATGACAGCCCTGGTAACATCAGCAACAAAGAAGTGCTTTTTTACTTGCATAAAAAGACATACAGTTAGAGTTGACATGTTTTGTGAAGATTTCTTCAATCTATCATTTGTAGTTAGGCTTCCTTTGAATGAACCCCGACTGTAAGTGTTGGACATATAGGGCACAGGGCCAAATTATTTGCAAAATTGACTATCCCAAAAGATATCTTCCTAGGTTAAATAGAGTGGGCACATTCCAGGTTCCATCCCTTCAGTGTTATCATCTGGTGAGACAGGGTTGGTTGGTTGGTTGGCTGGCTGGCTGGCAGTGGTAGGTCAGGTTCTAATTATTTTGGTTTTTTTATTGTGGTTTTTTTATTATTGTTGTGAACCACACAGAGTTGTCTTTTACAAGGTGGGGAGACATATAAATCAAATAAACAAATGAGTAAAGTATGCTACTTGGATTAACATTGAACAGTGTGAAGTCTTAGGAAGAACTTCTACTATCAAACTGTGGAGTACTTTTTCTCCCACCAAGGATAATTTAGAAGCAAGGATCCAGAAAATTACTTAGATCGCTAATCTCAGGGTTAGTTGGTTATTTATTGAACTATCTAGTCAGCAACTACAGCAAATAGCACAAAAAGTACATGACATCTTCCATGCAAGTGATTTATGGAATCATCCAACCATTGCTTTAGGAATATCAACCCTGCTCATATTAGTATTTTATCACCACAGTAATGTTACCAGATGTCAGTTTATCTCACTGGTGGATATTGACTCCATGTCTGAAGTATACATGATAGAATAAGTTGATTGTAGAAATCATGTATCAAACTTGTACAATAACTTATAATATAAAATTTTGTTTTTCTGAAGTTGAACAAAATGTCCGTAAATATGTACGTGGTGGTGGGTGTTTTGTTAGTTTATTTATTTTGGCATACTTTTTTTTTGCTTAGACTGTGTGCATATATGAATGAAGCTTTTTAAATATATTCTCACATTTAAAATATATCAGTTTTATTGAGTTTATCTTAGTTCTGCTGACTACATGAATATATCTGAGGACATTTTTGGGCAAAAAGTATAAAGGCGGTTTACTGTGCATTTAGTTATTTTTTGCAGGAACAAATGTGTGAATTTGGAGTTGAACACTTTGACTCATAATCTCTGAATCTTATCAGTTTCTGTCTCAAAAGCTGTTGAAGCAGAAAAATGAAGATTCCAAAGAGTGGTTTTAAATTCTGGACTTTATTTCTCACCTTATAGTTAGGCTCCTTAGTAAATATGGTTCTTCTACCATTACCAGTTTTCCATCTTGTAGATGACAGCTGTGTAAATAGCCATGCCACTGAAACAATCATTTTGAAAACTCTACTTAATACAATTCAGTGGTTTCTCCAAAAAAATAACTGACTTCCCAAATTGTAGGATTCTTGATATATTGTAATCTATAAATATGGACATGTTATAAAAACAGACAGCTTAATAGCGTTTGTGTATGCAATAAAAAGAGTCTGGTAGTGTAACTTCAGTAGAGCGAAAAGGAAGTATGATATGCTCTTCATGTCTGAAGTCAATATTTTCCTTTCAGACAGTTTGAAATCCAAGGCTGAAAAATCTGAAAATAATAACAAATGGCCCTTTTTAGATGATGATGCAAGCAGTGGATACAAATGTATTTTTGTCGTTCTTGGTGTTTCCCTCCCCAACAGAAAAGCGTTGAATTATAATAATAGTAATAGAGCTGAGAAAATTAACAGCTGTTTGGATTTCTGACTGTTGGCCCTATTATTTAGAACTATTGACTCTTTAATTAATTTAATTGTAATATTAACAACTCACAACAACAAAAGGAACTACTGATCTTTTCTTTTCTTTTCTTTTCTTTTCTTTTCTTTTCTTTTCTTTTCTTTTCTTTTCTTTTCTTTTCTTTTCTTTTCTTTTTAGGCTCCTTCATGATGGTGAATAGTTCTGGGAGGGCATCTGGGCAAAAGGCCCACTTGCTTTTACCAACACTGAAGGAAAACGACACTCACTGCATTGATTTCCATTACTACTTGTCCAGCCGTGACCGTTCTAGCCCTGGATCCTTGAATGTTTATGTGAAAGTGAATGGTGGACCTCAAGGCAACCCTATCTGGAATGTCTCTGGGCTTGTTACAGAAGGTTGGGTGAAAGCAGAGCTTGCGATCAGTACTTTCTGGCCACACTTTTACCAGGTATACTTGAGATTTCTTTTCTTTGACCATAGTGGTGGGCAAGCTGCAGCCTGTGGGCCACTGTAGCTTTTAAAGAGCAAATTGCTCATTTTCTATTGGTTTTTATTATATTTTATTTCAATTTTGAAATTGGAAGTGAGAAAGAGCTAAAATATTTTTCTGTTAAATGAACTTCATCCATCAACAATAAACAACTAATTTTAGCCCAATCTTCTTTAGTGACATTTCTGCATCACAATCGGGTCCTTAAGGAACTTGGAGGAGAAGGAAAAGGGTAGTAAACAACAATGCAGGATCTAATCTGGGTTAGTCAGTGGGACCAAAGGTTTAATCTTCTGAGCTTTCATACCCATGCTGGAGCCCAAATCTCAGAAGACTAAACTTTTGGACCCAGTGACTGACCCAGATTGGTTCATGCAACAATTATCCTGGGACAGTATGCAGGTAAAACTCGAAAAATTAGAATATCGTGCAAAAGTTCATTTATTTCAGTGATGCAACTTAAAAGGTGAAACTAATATATGAGATAGACTCATTACATGCAAAGCAAGATAGTTCAAGCCATGATTTGTCATAATTGTGATGATTATGGCTTACAGCTCATGAAAACCCCAAATCCACAATCTCAGAAAATGAGAATATTACATGCAATCAATAAAATAAGGATTGTACATAGAACAATATCGGACCTCTGAAAAATATAAGCATGCATATGTACTCAGTACTTGGTTTGGGCCCCTTTTGCAGCAATTACTGCCTCAATGCGGCATGGCATGGAAGCTATCAGCCTGTGGCACTGCTGAGGTGTTATGGAAGACCAGGATGCTTCATTAGTGGCCTTCAGCTCTTCTGCATTGTTCAGTCTCATGTCTCTCATCTTTCTCTTGGCAATGCCCCATAGATTCTCTATGGGGTTCAGGTCAGGCAAGTTTGCTGAACAATCAAGCACAGTAATACCACGGTCATTGAACCAGGTTTTGGTGCTTTTGGCAGTGTGGGCAGGTGCCAAGTCCTGCTGGAAAATGAAGTCAGCATCCCCATAAAGCTCATCTGTGGAAGGAAGCATGATGTGCTCCAAAATCTCCTGGTAGACGGCTGCGTTGACCCTGGACTTAACGAAGCACAGTGAACCAATACCAGCAGCTGACGTGGCTCCCCAAATCAACACAGACTCTGGAAATTTAACACTGGACTTCAAGCATCTTGCAGTGTGTGCCTCTCCATTCTTCCTCCAGACTCTGGTTTCCAAATGAGATGCAAAAGTTGCTCTCATCAGAAAAGAGGACTTTGGACCACTGAGCAACAGACCAGTTCTGTTTTTCTTTAGCCTGGGTAAGATGCTTCTGATGTTGTTTGTTGTTCAGGAGCAGCTTGACAAGAGGAATGCGACATTTGAAGCCCATGTCCAGGATCCATCTGTGTGTGGTGGCTCTTGATGCACTGACTCCAGCCTCAGTCCACTCCTTGTGAAAGTCCCCAACACTTTTGAATGGCCTTTTCCTGACAATCCTCTCCAGGCTTGGGTCATCCCTGCTGCTTGTGCACCCTTTTCCTCCACCCTTTTCCTTTCCACCTAACTTTCTATTAATGTGCTTTGATACAGCACTTTGGGAACATCCAACTTCTTTTGCAATTACCTTTTGAGGCTTTCCCTCCTTATGGAGAGTGTCAATGATGGTTTTCTGCACAACTGTCAGGTCAGCAGTCTTTCCCATGATTGTGATTCCTACTGAACCAGACTGAGAGACCATTTAAAGGCTCAGGAACCCTCTGCAGGTGTTATGGCTTAATTAGCTGATTAGAGTGGGACACTTTGAGCCTAGAATATTGAACCTTTTCACAGTATTCTAATGTTCTGAGATTGTGGATTTGGGGTTTTCATGAGCTGTAAGCCATAACCATCTCAATTATGACACATCACAGCTTGAACTATTTTGCTTTGCATGTAATGAGTCTATCTTATATATTAGGTTCACCTTTTAAGTTGCATTACTGAAATAAATGAACTTTTGCATGATATTCTAATTTTTCGAGTTTCACCTGTATTTGCCTTCATTTGTGTAGGAATAATAGTAAGAAAATTAATTAAAATGACCACAATTCACAAATCAAACATATGAATATGTCCTAACAGCATGAGAGCTAAAATCTACTGATATGTACAGTCTGGTTTTCCTTGCCATGCAGAGAATTAGACTATTCTCAGACACAGTATATACATTAAATTGAAATGGGGTATTTTTTAAAATCTGTCCAATAGGAACCTAAGCAGTAAATCTGACAGGTATTCCTAAATTCTTGCAACCTTGGATATTCAATCACTTACAATAAATATATTTTTCTCTTTTATTCAGCAGGCTTCTTGAATATTATTTACCATTTTTTTTCATCAGTAATCATGGTCATATGATTGAGTGAGAAGGAAAAGGGAAATTTACTTCTCTAAGGAAATTGCTTATTTGTACCCTATGACTATCATTAAGTGTTGTACTTATGATTCTTAATGAATGTATCTTTCCTTGTTATGTACACTAAGAGCATATGCACCAAGACAAATTCCTTGTGTGTCTAATCACACTTGTCCAATGATGAATTCATTCATTCATTCAGGAGCAGAAAGAAGTGGACATAGAGTACCCAAAGTTTGATTTTGGTTATGCCTACTTTTAGAATGACTTTTGAAGATTACTCCTAAAGGAATGAAACATCTGATTTTTTTAAATCCCCAAATTGCTCTCTTTCTGAATATTAATGTTGACAACAAATTAGATAATTGTGTCATGATTGAACTACTTGTTTGGGAAATGCCAAAATCACAATGACTAATGCTGTCTTTTGTACAAACCATTTGGAACAACCTGAAAAGATTGTGTGTTTGTCTTTGTGTGTGTGTGTGTGTATATACACATACACATATGCATTAATCATTCACTGTACATGAAAAAAATTTCAGGGTATTGCTCTGTGGGGTGTGAATTCCCCCAAAAACAAGAAATACTTTGCTCCAAAATGTAAACATATGAGATAAAAAATAAATACAGATAAAACTAAAATGCATTGATTTTAGCACTGATGATGTTACCTAGTTTGGGATAATGAAATGTCTGCAAGAAAACAACCAATCAGAGAACATAGAGAAAATAAGAATGAAAAACTCAGAGAACCTCATGACACTAAAATGGTTCAGGTTTATGGTTTATTTTTACCATATCTATACATTGCTTCAACTTCTCACTTTTCTCTTTTTGTGGATCTTAGCACCTCTGTCCAGTCATGATTTCTTTACTATTTCCCTTACTCTCAACCAATTCAGTCTTTAAGAAGAGGTTTGTCCTCTGTTATAGAATTAGGACCATCCAACAACATCATCCAACAATTCTAGGGGGCTTCTGTTAGATTTTAAAAGCTGTATTCTAGCCACACATGAACATCCATCATTTAGATCTTACATATCAAATATCCTTCTTGTTGCCAGGCAATGAAAGAGCATGGGAAATCACCTTGGAATGTCTTTCAGGATGAATCTTGATGGAATAAAAAATGGCACTTCAGATTTCTCTTCCCTCTTTTTTATAAACAATGCTGGATTACATCAAGTTGATTGCTCTTAGCCTCACCTATTTTCTCCTTATCATTCATTAAATTCTGATAGTGAACCATCTCATCAAGATGTTGTTTTCTATGACCAATCCATAACTATAGGGAGTTGAAGAATCTTATCAGAAAAAAAATATTTTCAAGGACTTTATAACACTTCATAACTTGTCTTGAAGCATCTTGATAAAATCTTGTACATTCTTTTCAGGTGTCTTCTGTAGCACATTCTTTTTAACCATTTATTGTCTGGCTATTAACGCATTCTATAATTTTTCATTCTTTCTGCCATCATAGTTCTAGGACTTAAGATTTAGCTGGCTTCATGATTATATTTATTTCTGGTACAGATTTTTAATGTACAGTGTTTTACATGCATGCATATTTGCACACTTTTTGGAGGAGGGTCTTTGAAATATACTTATGTATATCTACATAAGTAAATTTGGAAACTGAGTGGGTTGTTCTGTGGAATACAGGTAGTCCTTGTTTGGCAACTGACTTGTTTAGTGACCATTCAATTACAGTGGTTATGATCAATCCTTGCATTTATGACCTTCACAGGTCTGTAAAGCAAAGGGAAGCTGAAGTAAGACCATAAACATAGATGCGGTTTCATTTAGCAATCATTTTGCTTAACAACTGAGTTACTATTCCAAGTTGTGTTTGCTAAACAAGGACTATCTGCAAAGCATCTATTACGGAATCTGAATCTTTTGTACTTAAGGGATGTTAGAGTAATGTTTTGTGTATAATTTTCAATTGTTTACTTAATCAGCTTGTTGTCTCCTATGAATTTCAGGTCATATTTGAATCGGTTTCCTTGAAGGGTCACCCCGGATACATAGCTGTGGATGAAGTCAGAGTCCTTGCTCATCCATGCAGTAAGCATCTCCCCCCCCCCCCCCGATTCCCTCCTAACCATAGCAATGCTTTTCATGTTCAAATGAGTAATTTAGCCAATTTAGTCAGTTCTGAAGCATTTCCTTTTATCTATTCCAAATGCTTGCGGAGTGGAAGCAATCAGCCCTGAATAAATACATAATTTCTCAAGTTGTACAACAAGCAAAGCTGCTTCAAATGTGCAGCAAGTGCCAAAATTTTAAACCATTATTAAAGGGAAATAAAGCCCTGATTGTTAGGACCATTGAAGGGAGAGAATTATAGGGTTTTAGTGATTCCCTATAGAATTAACTTAAAGAGAGAAAGTTGGGATAGGGAGGAGAACCTTCTTTAACACAACTAAGCAAATTAGTGCAACATTCACACTGGAAAAAAAGGCCTGGAGTGTTTTTCTTTAAAGAAATGTAAATCTTTGCAGTGCTTCTTTGAAAGACTTTGTGTTTGTGTGTGTGTGTATATGCATGTGACTCACACTGTGAAATAAAGAAATAAGTCAAAGATTGTTTTGCTACATTTCCTAGGCTACTGTATTTCTTTCAGCTGTTCTATTCAGATTTATTTTAAAAGCATTCAATTAGGAATCTGTATCAAATTGACATTAAAGATACTCAGTTTATAACAGTAAAGAACAAACTTACACAGTATGAATTTTAATGTTAATTTAGGCTATTTCGTATGATCATGGGAATTATCTGGCTTTTTTATTTCTATGGAGAGCTTAATAATTAGGACAAAGTAAGCAGACTAAAGCATTTTTAGTCCCACCAACTGGGAGAAGCTAAGCACAGATTTTTAGATAAACCACAGAAAATTTAACAGTTAGTTTCTCGAGTCACTTTGGGCCATGCAGCCTTGTTCCAACTTACTTTGACAGTGTAGGTGTCTCTGAAGGGATAAATGATGAAAATATGTGACAAGGTCATCATGCAAATGCATTGACTTATGTGTCTGATGTAGAAACATCAGTACATAATATAGATAGTCCTTGACTTAAAACCACATTTGAGCCCAAAATTTATTTTGCTAAGTGAGATAGTTGTTAAATGAATTTTACCTCATCCCTGTAACTGTTAAGTGAATCTGGCTTCTTCATTGACTTTGTTTGTCAGAAGATCTCAAAAAGTGATCACATTATCCCAGGATACTGCACCATCATAAATACGAGTCTGTTGCCAAGCATCCAGATTTTGATCACATAACCATGGGAATGTTGCAATGATTTTATGTGTGAAAAATAGTCATAAGTCACATTTTTCAGTGAAGTTGTAACTTTGAATGGTTATTAAATGAACTATTGTAAGTTGAGGATTACCTGTAGTGGCATTTGTATGATGATGTATCTGCATGTAGCCATGTTGGCATCACCACAGTTTGCTACAGAGCTTTCTGTGTTTATTATTTATTTATTGAAGAAAATTTTATGGCCTCTCAACTCACTCATGGTGATTCTGTGTTATAAGGTTTGTTAGTTAAAGGACAAAATGTTGAAGAGCCCTCACCTACAATATCATGAAAATAATGCAAATCTACTGTAAATAATTCAATCAACCATTTTTCACTCTTGCAAAATGAGACTGGAACTCTTGAATCAAACTGCTTTAACCATAAATGCATAGTGCAACATAGGAGAATAAACCCATCCGGACTAGATTCAACAGTCCATCTGTATTTAAAAAAACAAAGGTCAATCCTTTAAAGACAGCAAAGTCCACATTTTGGACAGAGAGGACCACTGGTTTGAAAGAGAGGTCAAAGAGGCCATCTATGTCAAAATTGAACAGCTCTCTCTCAACAGAAGGGGGATATGACACAATCTATCTCCAATCTACAACACAGTCCTTTCAGCAGTTCCAAGAAGGCTCCACAGTCCACACCCATTTGCACCACATCTGGAGGTTTATCAGATAAACTCCAGGTGGCCTTAACAACTTGCTAAAATAATGCAAATGACCAGCTGTCTGCAAGAAGAATAAATCCATTCCCCACCATCCAGTCAGAGCTGAAGAAGCTTCTTGGATGAGAAGCAGTGGTGGGATTCAATTTTTTTACTACTGGTTCTGTGGGCGTGGCTTTTGGGTGTGGCAGGGAAAGGATACTGTAAAATCTCCAGTCAGAGGTGGTATCTGCCGGTTCTCTGAACTACTCAAAATTTCCACTACCCGTTCTTCAGAACTGGTCAGAACCTGCTGAATACCACCTCTGATGAGAAGCAAAATGTCTTCAAAGAAAACCCAAAAAATCCAGTCGCCTTTTGAAACAGCATCTTTGGGACAAATTGTTTTAAGTTGGTTCAAAGGTTTTCATCTATTCAGTGCATTTTAATCCCATGATTAATGTGTGATGAAAAAGTTTGCCCACCTTCAAGAATTATCAGAATATTCTTGGGAAATCATGACATAGTGAATTATAAGTTTCAGTAAATTCAGATACCTTGGCAAAACATTTAATGGGATGCTCTTGTCACAATCTTCTTCAAAATCTGTACTGAGAAAGTTGTGGCAGATTATTTTATTCCCTGGTAGTAAATTTAAGCATCAGTCTGATCTTTTTAGGAAGGATATGGATAAACTGGTAATTCAGTGTTTTATGAATGCTTACCAAACAATTGGAAACTTTTTTTTCAGAGACTGTCTCCAGATTTTCCAGGTTTAAATTCAACTGTGATGACACGATAATTATTAGTGAAATTATTGCAAAAAAGGAACATGGAGTGGTATTTTAAGCATGAGTTTTGAATGTAAGAATGGGTGGTCTATACATACATTGGTAGTGCGTACAAAGATTGGGAGCAGAACTATAACCCTGTTAGTCTGGTGAGTTCTTTCCACTCAAATTAGCAGAAATCAGTTCAAAATTCTGTAGAAGATTAAAATTTTGACTCCAAAGTGCTTCTGTTCACATAGTATGGCTTTTTATTTAAAACCATAAACTTATTTTATGCCCCATTTGCTCTCTTTCCTTCATCCCTTTATTTCCATTATACTTCAAAACCCCTGCCTATCCTTCCCACCCACCCACCCAAAAAACCTCTGTGCAGAAAATTAGTCACTGTGAACTAAGTCACAGTAACTAGTCATCCAGTAAGAATTTCATGAATAACTGAATGATTTTGAAAAGCTAAACAGGATCTGTTTTTCTTACTACTTGAGTAGAAGACAACTAAAAAAAAACTAGGCCTATAGATAAGAGGGAAAAATTAAAAAAAAATATTTCATAGGAACTAAGTGGCAAATATTTTTTTTCTTTTGACATCAAGTAAACTACATGACTTCGTCAATTGAAGGAGATGTTACTAACTTTCCAAGCCTAACATAACATAATAAAAATTATCTACTGTAAGAAACAAGACTGCAATGAGGAGGAATAGAAAATATACATATAACTGAGGATCTAACTAGCATCCTTTAGCAGTAATTTTGCATGAGATTTTGCCTAATTGTTCTTGTCTATTTGTGATTAAGGAATTGTATCAAAATGCTCAAAGAAATTAAAGCCAGGAAATCTCTTGCCCCCTTCCCCCAAATAATTATATGCTGCTTTACTTATCAATTTGGGAAATGTAGATTAGTATGGTTTGCATGCAAACAAGCAGATTTTGCCTGTTCTTATTAGTAAATGCTTTCTTTTGTTCTAATTCAGAAGTGCCAGAGAACTTAAAATAGAAGAATTATTGCCAATTAAACAGGTCCATACACTGGAGTTGGAGGGAATTGAAGATATTAACTGTCAAAATCGTTTGATTAAATATATTAAAGCAGTACTGCTTCGTATCAAGGGCTCTCCATTTCAAATGACAGATCTATGACCCTGCCTCAGCCAAGAGCTAGTACATCAATACATTTTGACATGGATAAATTAGTGACCAGTTAAAAGGGATGGCATAGCACTATTTAACTTGATTGACTGGATGTGGTTCTTCAGGAATACAATATATGTTGTGGACAGTTACTAGCTAGTTTTCCCTTACTATGGATATTTATTTTGCTATCTGAAGCAAACAGCCAAGTTTGGAGAATGGTTTTAATTTAAATATAAAAATGGGTGACAAAAATTAAAAGTGTGTCTGCTCCATCACCATAGTCATAACTGGATTCTAAGATTGCTATAATCTGAAGTAAATCTTGATCAGAGATCTCCCATTTCACTGTTAGTGCATTCTAAAATAATCAGTTACCATTGCAATGCTGTGGCTTAGCATATTATTTAGTACTGGATAAATGGGTAAATTTTCTGATAATGGAACCTTTGTAGACTTAAATTTGGTGAATATCTTGAATTCTTTGCCTCTGGAATGCAGCTATAGCACAGAACCAAACATATTCAAAAAGTTGGCAACATCAGTTAATAAAGTACATGCATTGTATTTATGCAATGAACAGAAGAAGAAATAGATTTTGATATACAAAAACCATTTGCTTTGGTTATATATTTGAAATGCCAGAGACATTATGAAAAAACAAGCAACCCAATATTGCAGATATTCTGGAAGCAAAGCTCCAGCATGAAAGGTGGCCAGGGTGCTCCTTTTTACTTGGAAGTCTGGAAAATGATGTAAACCTGTGAATTGGCGAATTGGACCTTTCCCTGAAAGTAACTGTGCCATCCAAGATCCAGATGGCCTCATATCTGCTGTAATTTAAAAGAGCTATGAAGACCTGGCTCTTTTCCTAGATCTTTAGTGAGAGAGAATGAGACTCCTTGCTGCATTGCACTTGCCATCTTTTATCAGTAGTATTTATGTTATTGGATTTATTGTAATTTCTTTGTTGTGCGCCACCCAGAGTCATTGAGAGTTGGGTGGTATAACATTTTAATAAATTGTTGCTCTTAATACTAGTTTGCTACTGAGTTATAGCTTCAAGCTGTATGAAACATAGTGATGTGATTCTTTGTTTTTGGATTATTGTCTCTAAGATAATTGGTAAAATAAACCTTTTACTTCTATCTTCTGTGTAGTGCATCCATCCTTGTTCTCCTTGACTGTGGTATCCTTTTGGGTTGGTTGCAGGGTTTGAGGCTCCTTTGTCCCAGGCAGATCCTAACTGGTGTTGATAGGGAGTGAGAAGTACAGTCCACAGCTGGAGTGGAGAGAGAGAGTACTGAACCCTTTGTGGTGTGCTGCAGGGCTCAGTCCTCTCTCCATTCCTTTTAAAGATCTACATGAAGCTTCTGGGTGAGATCATCCATCACCAGAAGGATCCCATCAATCAACACATTTTGATTGGTGTGGTCCAAGAGAAGAGCCTTTTCTGCAATGGTTCTTTCTTTCTATCTTTCTAATGGTTCTTTCCATCTTTCTACAGAGGGCATTTGCTTTTTGCTTCCACTAAATATTAATTGAATATCCTGGGAAATGTTGGATTCTTTTGTTATAGAATATTTATTTATAGTACACTGCTTATGGCAAGGTGGTCATTGTGTTTCTTTTCATCTTCTTAGCTAGAACAGGAAAGACAGTCTGCATATAAAAAAAAAGAAAACCAAAAGACAGGATTAGCATTACTTTGCTAGGTCATTTATTCTATGAGAAACTTGGCAAAAGGAAGGAAGGAAGGAAGGAAGGAAGGAAGGAAGGAAGGAAGGAAGGAAGGAAGGAAGGAAGGAAGGAAGGAAGGAAGAAAAGGATGGTTCTCATTTTACTTCTGCTATCATTATGCATTGTGATGCTCTATCCTGGTAATATTTTGTCTTTTTGTTAGGAAAAGCTCCTCACTTCCTGCGGCTGCAAAATGTGGAGGTTAATGTTGGGCAAAATGCAACATTCCAGTGCATTGCAGGAGGAAAGTGGTCTCAGCATGACAAATTGTGGCTACAGGTAAAAGCACAATGATCCTTTAGGTTCTTTAGAAGTTTCAAACCATATTTCTCATCTATGAACAAATAGATAAACTGAATCCATTGGAAAATTTCTGTGCAATACTTTCATCATTTCCCTTTGAGTAAGAGAACATTCTGAAACACATAAAATGGGATTTAAATTTATGGCCTGAAAAATTATTTAGCTGAATATATTTAATATCTTGAGCAGTTAAATGTTTAACTTTATAGGAAATATATAAACCTGAGCAGCTAAATATTTAACTTTATAAGAAATATTATATAGCATTTGTTTACTATATTTCTTCTCTCTTATATATTCTTATGGCATAAATGCACCAAATGTTTTTTATGTTCCCATTGGAAAAAATCAGAATTAACAGAATTAGAGATCTGATTTTGAGGCTGTAAAGAAAAAGAAACAAGCAAGGCACTGAAAGCTAATCTTTCAAAAGAATGGGATGAGATCAATGTGAGGAAATTTCAGGATGCCTTACTTTATTTCTACTTTTTTAATTGCTTCTACATTTTATTTGCAAACCTAATTTATTTCAGTCATACTATTTTATTAATCTATATTCTGATCCTAATCATTCTCAATCACACCTTTTGTTAGAAATTCTAAAATAGCTCAAATCTCAGCTACTATTTTCTTAAGGATGGCTGTGCTTGTTACTACAACCACTATAGTTTAGAACTGCCAGATTTACTCCGAAGAACTGACTGTACTATTGTTTCAGCTGAATAAATTGCCTCTGATAAGTAGTCTCTAAACCCAGCACAAATATACCCTGCCAATCATTTTTGTTATCTGTTTGTCCTTGAGAACAACAATATATATATATATATATATATGTTGTTGTTGTTTTTTTCAATTCACAGCTAGCATCTATGTTGAAAAAGAAAACAGAGAATAAGTAAGATTTATTTTTTTTATTTTTTTTAAATGAAGGCAGTTGTTACAATTCTTTCATCTGCTGTGAGACAATTCAAGGCCACAGTACATGTTGAAGCAAAATACAGGATGGATTGTGCAGCCTGCCCTGCATACTTTTATTATATCCAATGAGTTTTTGATCTTGGCCTAATATCTACAAAAGGGAGGCATGAGTCACTTTATACTGTTAGGAAGAAAATGGAATCATATATCTTATCCACTAGGTGACCTTTGAATCCTCATAAATGACACACATTTCAGAATCTTACATTTCTACAAATCCAACCTTTTTTATTGATAGCTTTTATAATGGAACAATGCTATGCTGCAATCTATTATCAGCCTGACTCAATCCATTGCAGGATGAACCTCTCTTCATTGAAAGTTATAAACCATAATCTATCAGGGTAATCCAGTGTAGATTAGTGGTTGTTTTGATTTTTTTCTCTAAGACTGAGAGAGGAATTGGCTGACCCAAAATCACCCAACTGGCTTCTGTTCCTAAGAAACAACTACTCATATAGTTGATAGGTAGTAAAATATACAGTAACTACTGCTCTAAACTGAAATTGAATTTTAGCAATACACACCAAGTTTAACTAATTCATTTGGGAGAAAAGATGTCATGTTTTTGTAAAAATTTCAGAGAAGGAAATTAACATGAGTTAGGAAAACACTTTTCATCAACATGTTATACTTACCTAGATCTTTTTCCCTCTCTTTGTATGGTAGCAGTGGAATGGAAGAGACACAGCATTAATGGTAACCAGAGTCGTCAACCATAGACGTTTTTCTGCTACTGTCAGTGTAGCTGATACATCCCAACGCAGTATCAGTAAATACCGATGTGTAATCCGTTCTGATGGTGGATCAGGAGTTTCAAACTATGCAGAATTAATAGTAAAAGGTAAGTGATGAATAATTAAAAATGTGAATTTGTGGTTGTTTGTACCTGTCCCAAATAGAATGTCATCTGAAGTATAAAATAACATCTACAATCAACCAGAGTCTACATCTGGCTATTTGAACATGTTAGTTTTATTTTTGTCCATGAATTCTAGTCGCTTCACATGAAGAGAAATAAAACAGTAAAGATTATTAATACAATTGATGATAAGTGAATTAATTATTAATAATATATCATTAACTTTACTATCTTACTAAATGAAAAAAAACTTATTGTAGGAAACTCAACTATAGTAAAGAAAAACCCTCAAACTTGAAAACGCTGTTTGTATTTTTAAAAACTCTGTGTGGTTTTAATGACATAAATTTAAGTTGCTCTTTTGTAATATTGTTCATAACAAAAATCCTCAAACAATTTTGAGAATTCCTAACACATGTTGCATTCATAAAGCTTTCATGGGTCATGTTTTATGAAATACATTCCTGTTGACAGATGTATTATATATCACACATTTTTTTTCTATTCACATAGCTACTCTTCTGGTAACTAAAATTGGTAAATCTATTGCAAAGTAAATCCTGTTTTCAGAATTTCTGTCAGAATCGTACTGTCTTGAGACAGCCGCAAATGTGGATGTGGAAGTTGTACTAAATGGTATTCTGGAATCTGAAGACAATTTAGTGCAATACAAGTTCAAGAATAAAATATACAAAATTCTTCAGAAATATCAGATTATAGTGGAATCCCCTACTCACCTTGGATTAGAAATCTCATTCTTAGTCTTGAGTTTTGGAGGGGGAGAAGAAGAGAATTCTAATACTGTAATTTTCTTTATGTTGCCTGTAAGAACAAAACAGCACTGAATGTATCCTTAAATTCTAATATTTCATTCCTAAAATTAAGATCTTTATTCTAATATCATTGTTGCTCCCATAATTTTTGTGAATGAAGAATTATTAATGAACTCTCCTTGGTTTTCAATTCTCTCCTCCTCCCAATTTATCAACTGCAAATTTTTAACAATTTTCCTACAATTTACCCCACTCCTCAAAAGGTTGGTGTAAATAATTCATTGCATTTTCATGTGCATTTCTGGTGTTTATGTTTTCATTACTACAAGTTCCTTTTCTAAGTTATTTTCCAGAATAAATCATATTTTTGTTAGGTTCCATTCTTTAATATAGTAATTTTAGTTGTACACTGTCAAATCATTGTAAAATGTTTATTTTGGCATGGTTATGCATTCCAAGTATTTATACAATTTTGAACATTATAAACATATAAGGATAATAACCATGTATACACAGTGTTAGACACATAAAGAAGACTGAAATGATTCTACAGCTAAGCATATCATGTTAGCATGTGAGCATGTGAGCATGGTGGCACAGTTTTTAGAATGCAGTATTGCAGGCTAATTCTGCTGACTGCTAGGAGTTTGATTTTGACCGGCTCAAGGTTGACTCAGCCTTCCATTCTTCCAAGGTCGGTAAAATGAGGACCCAGATTGTTGGGGGCAATATGCTGATTCTGTAAACCACTTAGAGATGGCTGTAAAGCACTGTGAAGTGGTATATAAATCTAAATACTATTGCTATTGCTATCACTTTTAAAGTGGATACTGTGAATTTAAAGTTGCTCAAAACCACTCATGGAGCATGTGTGAAAGAAGAAAAGCCAACTTTTCTTAAGAGCAAAAGGAATTCATAGCTGGATAAATAAACATAAATCTTACAGTGGCTGTTATATTGTAAATAAAGGTATAAACACTGATACGTGACACAAACAAGACACTGATGGATTCAGTGTTGGAAATAAAGAGATGGTAAGATAATTAAGGTAAAATTAGGTTGTCAACTCCTATTTTCTTTTTTCTTTTGCTTCTCTTCAACTGATATGATAAATGTATGACTACTTCTAAGGAGGTTAACTTAATTTGGTGCTGATGTCCTTTTGAAGTAATATGGATAAATGTTTCTCAAAAGTTCTGCATAATTTGGCCAGGATGCTATCAAATTTGCAGCATTTTTCAGTAGCTAAAATGAAATCGGTTTGGAAAGCTTCAGTCCCAAAATTATTTTTATTGAATTATTGACAGTGAAAACAATTGTGGAATGGCTTGCATTCAGAAGTTGTGGGTACTCCATCACTGGGAGATTTAAAAAAGAGATTAGATAGCCATTTATCTGAAATAGTATAGGACTGTGATGGCGAACCTATGCCATGCATGCCAGAAGTGGCACACAGAGCCATCTCTCCAGACACACAAGCTGTTGCCCATTGTTCTTCTATGTTCCAGCGTGCTGGCCAGCTGGTCTTCTTGCACTTGGGAGTGCCAGAAACTGGAAGAGCAGCCACCCAATACACATGTGCATGCCAGGAAGATGATCTTCTGGTTTCCAGCACGTGCATATGTGACCACCTGGTCTTCCGGTTTCTAGTGTGCATGCATGCATGAAGACCAGCTGGCCAATACATATGCAGAAACTGGAAAATCATTTTCCTGGGCCACACATGCGCTCTGGGCGACTGCTCTTCCAATTTACAGCATGTGCATGCACATGCACATCAGCCAGCTGGTCTTCACGCATGCACACACACAAAGCGTGCACTCACTGAACTGGTTGTTACACCGGTTGAATCAAACCACTGCATGTGTGTGCCAGAAACCGGAAGAGCAGCTTCCTGGGGCGCACATGCACTCTGGGTGGCTGCTCTTCTGGTTTCTGGCACATGTGCGCACATGCATTCGTGCTCCCATTTCAACACTCAGTGATGAAGAGGTTCACCAACATTGTATAGCACTTCTTCTTGAGTCCAAGGGATTGGACTAAAAGACCTCCAACTGTGTTATTCTGTTCTGTTTTGGATTGATTATGCAATACAGTACCTGAATACAGTTCAGCTAAGGAGCTAATTGCTATGCCTAGATAAAGACAAGCCTAAAACCTGGGTTTGAATTCAGAAATGTATGTGGGATTGAAGATGTGCCTTTTCTTTTGCCAGTCTGTGACAAAAAATCTATTTCAAATGCATCTCAAAGGATGAATGTTATCTGACTGAGGGGGAAAAACATTATGCAGGATGAATGTAGATGTGAAAATACTGACAATTACACCAAATGTAAAGAACTGAAGACATAATTTATAAAAAAAGGTTACAAATCCATTTAAACACGTTAGTGGCTTAATTATTTTTATTTGATTTAATTTGTTCATTTGTGTCATATGCTAAGAACAAAATGTCTGAAAGGAGAAGAATATGCTGCCAGACAAGGAACCAATAATAAAGGCAAAACAATTTCTCAAGGGTTGCTGTATGATTTTGTAATGGTAAAAAACAGTAAAGAATAAAAGAGCACCAAACTGATTCAGTATCAGTGTTTCTACACTCATGTCTACTGCCTCAGATTAATGGAACACATATTGTTCCATTGTGTAATTTTTACATATGAAACTTTCAAGTGTCCCATTCTGACTCGAAGACTGCTATTTTGGCAGAGAGCCTGCCTGAGCATTTTGGTACAAACAGAATTATGTTATGATGCTCCCAGAACACACAAAGCAATAATAATTCCATGGTTAAATAGGTCAGTTTTTAAGGTTTCCAACTCAGAATGCTTTGATAGGAAATATTTGCATACCTCTAATTAGAGAGATGTAAATGACACAGAGTCAAATAATGTAAAAAAGTAAAAGGACATATGTTTTTCACACTAGAATGAATTCCTTCAAATCTTTGATTACTGCATGCATTTCATTGATTGGCTAATTACATTTCAATTATCTATACACACAAACATGTTTCATACATGCTTGCCTATTGATAATTTAGGAAAATAATATGGAATTAAAGAACTAAAGTAGCACAATGAATATGTTTATCTGTAAGGAAATACAATACTATTCTATTTTTATTATTCATTTAAATTTCAATTTGTGTATTGTTCCTGTTGTTTTAATTGTTGTGAGCTGCCCATAGTTACGTATAGATTGCTATAGGAATTGAATAATTAAATAAAGATAAATATATAAATAAATACAAGATCCAGACTATTATTGGGAAACTCAAATGAAGGATTATATAATTGTGAAGTACTTTATTGTGTAATGTTCCTCAGTTAATCTGTACTTGGAAGCTGTAAAATAGCAAAGATAAAGAGTTTTTATTTCAATTGAATTGTTCTTGGAATAGACACATTCAAACCTTCACATTGTTACCCGTAGAAGTTTCTCCAGTAAAGGCAACTTCTTCATTGGCCATATAAAGTACATGGTATAAAACATTGTTATAAACTTTGAGAAACTTCCTTGACCTAGCATTGATTTCACAATAAAACCATGTCCACTTCTCACTGCAAAGCTTGTTTTATTTTGGGTCCATTTTCTTTGTTCTTTCTCTGTATGTTTCTGAACAGGAATACTAAAATGAACGAGTAAACGTTTAACTTTGCTTCTGTCCTGTTAATGTTACATAAATATAAAGTAAAATTGATAATATATAGATATTTGAATTCTGATAATTTATGAGTACAATAAAAGAAATAGTTGAGATATAAAAAAATCACAGAACAAAATCAGGTTTGCTAATCCCAGCAGTTCTGATAATAATTGCATGTTTAATATCACATCTTAAAATATCTTCTATTTGAATGGCATTATTTAATTATGAGTTGCAAATGGGGACCAGTCTAATTTCATTTAGCATATCTGTAGTACAGGGAGAGGGGCTTGATATTAATATATAAAGTTTGATATAAAACAAGCAATGGTGGAATGGGTCCTATAGAATCCACCTGCAAACAAAGCAAGCAACAAAAGTAAGAAATACATTTTCTTACACATTTTGCAAATCTGTTATAAGAATATAATTTATAAACCAGTGTGATTAAAGAAAATTTAAGGGTATGGTTGGACAAGATAGGAAGAACATAAATGGCTGCTTTATATTGTGTCTGTTAATTAATCCAGCTAGTTCATTCTTTTTTCCACCAAGTTATA